TGGAGGCCCAATGTCCTTCTGCTACCTTAATACTAAACCTATAAATATAGGCACATAGATCTATTTCCTCATCCTCATATAAATATATTTGCATATGTACATGTCTTTATCTAGACCTCTATAAATGCCCTTTGCCTCCCAGATCTTTCCTCTATTTCCCTGGACTTTCTTCCTGTACCACTATCATGCTCAGTCCCCACCTGGGTTTCAGCGATTCCTCTTGGTTACATTACCCTTGATCATGCCCTCCCAGGCCTTCCACACCCACCTCACCACCGATTTGGATCACTTGCTTCCTTGTCCCTGGGTTTGTTACCACCACTACCTTTCTCCTCACCTCCCCCCTTTTCCAAGTCCCCCCGGAACTGGAGGTCCCGTTGTTTTCTCCTCCAGATTGTTCATCCAGCCTATCTTAGACAGACCTGCAGAGATAATACATGCACAAAAACAAGACAGAGCAAAACCAAGGAACAATATATAACGAAACCACAACACGACAAAAAAACAAAACACAACTAAGAAAAGCTTGTAGTTAGTTAGTTCAAGGACTGTTGGCCTTTACGAGTGTTTTCCAGTCCAGTCTGTGGGGACACCACACCCTGACCCCAAAGTCCACCATTAGCATTCCCTGGGGACCTTGCCTCTCTGGTCCCTTGCTGTTTTGTTATACCCCCTTAGTGTTTTGCCTCCGTGTGGCACCCTCTCACTTCTGACAGTGAGATTGTCGACATTGAAACATGCACTAGTAGGAGAGAATATTGTCTTTTGCAAACGAGTCATCTTGGAGGCTGTATATTTTAAAGATTTCTTTTGCTTTGCCCTGTTTACCTGGGGAAGGGTCTTCCCTTGATTCTACTTCTCAGCGGAACTATCGTCTTTGAAGGCAGATTGGCTCTGTAGGGATTCAGAAGGAATTTGTCTTTGTGCCTCCAAGTCCAGTGTAACTCCTAACAACCATACGGCCCACAGAGGCAAATATTACCCAGTCCTGTGCCGCCTTCACAGTTGTCATGTTTCAGGCCATTGTTGCAGCCACCATGCCTTATGGGCTGTTTCCCTGACCTTGTGTGCCATCAAGCATGCTGCCCTTCTCCAGCAACTGAAGCCGCCTCATAACTACTTCTTTCAAGACAGATTTGTTGGTGTTCCTGGTCGTACAAGGGGCTTTCAGTATTCTTCACCAACTATATAGTTCAAAATGCGTCAGTCTTCCTTTGATCTTCCATATTCATTGTCCAACATTCCTGTGCATAAGAAGCGATTGAAAACACCATGGCTTTGGGTCAGGTGCACCTCAGTCCTCAGAGTAGCGTCTTTGCTCATTTTTAGTTAGGTCTGATAAGCTGGGCCAACAAGACATTTCCCAACAGCCCAATTGGCCATGTCACCACATTGAAGACGCCACTGTTGTTTGAGTAGTCTTATGGTCATAGTATTCGCATATCATACAATTCACTAATTCAGTCATATTTAAAGGAGTTGTACAATCATCACCACATTCAATTATAGACCATTTTCTTCTTGTATTCATTGTTAATAGTTTTCTATTTCTCCCCCACCATCCCCCTAACCATTAATCCAGGTCCTGTTGTATAGATTTACCTCTCCTGCATTTCATATATAGAAAAACATAACCTCCCCGAAAACCAAACATCAAAACCTCAGTTGAAAAGAAAGCAGAAAACATTAAAAAACTAGAACACGGAACTTATTGTTGTGGTGGCTAAATCCACACTTGTTTCTCCCTCACTTTTTAAAAATTGAAGCAAATTTAAAATGGGTAAAAGGGGAGATCAAATGACAAAGTGTCATATTGTAACCTCGTAACGATACCAGAATTGTACAGTCTGAAAATAAAGCTGTTCTAGTTTCTTAACTATGGTCAGAGGGAGTTCACCAGAGGTTTAATCCATCTGTGGACCCTGCAAATGGATTTTGGCTTCAATTGTCATCCATAGACCTTTGCAGACCTGGTGTTCACGATTTAAGCTGATACCATTCCCTCCTTCAGATTTGGATTTTAATACATACAGTCCTGTGGAAACCACTTTTTTTGACATGCCAGTAACTGTCCCCGTGTTCTGTGAAACAATGCTCTACTTTTTCATCTAGATCTTTAATTCATTTGAATAGCCACACAGAACTCAACAGACAAGATTCATGAAGTTATTAAGGAAGTTAACAGGTTGTGAAGCAGGTGAGAAATGTTCAGGATATAGCTGTGCACCAGGACATGTTAGAGTTCTTTCAGGGCATAACACCCTGTGGTAAACCTCAACCTGAAGGCCTTCAGCTCAAGCTCCTTGGGTCAGCAAACCCAGCTCTTTGAATTAAATGCACAGAGGCCCCCCCACTCCAGTTAGCATCAGACAGTCAGCTCAACCCCAGTGGGTCAGTAAGTCCAGCCCCCCAATTAGGTGTCCAGAGGCACCTCACACTATAAGCCAGCCTCCTGCCGCAAAGCATGCAGCTTTACTTGCTCCGTGGGTTAGGAAGTCCACCGTGCTCTCTCATGCTCTGGCTCCTGCTTCAGCTGATGCACCTCTGATGTTAGAACTGTCTTCTGGATCCAGGAGCTTCACTGCACAGGAATCTCGGGGATCACAAGATGTGCTCCATTCCTGATTCTTGCTGGTAGTGAGATTCCCTTCTATTTCTCCAAGGGCTTATTTTATATCCATCAGAATGGCAATCAAAATGTAGCCTGTTACAGGGGAATTTGATCAGTGTGTGTCTCCCTAACCCCTCCCCCGCTTCTTACCCAGACCCATGCAGGGAAAGGTCCTTTGGTGGGAGTTAGAGACTCTGGCCAGAAGAGCCACACTACATCCTACTTTACTGCCCCTAGCGCACAGGATCTCAAAATACTTCTGAGTGTCGCCACAGTAAGCAAATTTGACACTGTAAGGTGAAACACAACAGGAGATCTTTACACTGAGTTTCATCATCCAGTTTCATTGATGGTGTGACTGGTGCTTGTTCATTTTGGGAGTCTTGGGAGTTGCTATTGTCTTTAAAAGTTGGATTTCCTTCTCTCCCCTTTTTGAACATCAGTGTAAACCTCCAGCCTTTGTTGTTGCTTGAATTGGGATTTTTGACCATCTGTGTAGAAGCTTACTTCTGTCCTCACATTTTTGTTGAGTATGACTACGTATGTACCTTTCC